ATATACAGGTACCCCAAGAAAATGTATAGACTTAATAATACAGAACATTAACCTTCAATCTCCATGTGTTGTGTTTACAAGTGGAACTTAGTGTAGTCTATACTTAACAGATAGTACCGCAATAACTTTTCCCATGATGCAATTGTTTAGTTTATTAAAATGTCTTTATTTCATGCATTGAATGTATGTATATGTTTTGTAACACCTGTATTATATCTCAATAAATGTATTATAAGTGATAGTCTCGCAACATTCATATAACTGCATTTCAGACCCGTCAAGGACTGATGAATTATTTTTACTTGGAGATGATGTGGGGATATTCTGAAATGGCAGTGGGCTGGAGGGCCTTGCGAGAAAAATTCTGTAATTAAAAAAAATTGCTATAAGATGTTACAAATTGCACTGAATGAATATAATTTATAGATACATCAAGACACATCACCAGTGACCAGACCGACAAACATTACTTTCTGATCCCTGCCACAGAGTACAAAAATCAAATTTTAAATTCCTTAATGTAAGTTCCTTAAAACTTAAAAAATTGTGGTATACACAACTGTACCATTTACACTGTCTGGTAAGATTCCCCTGTGTTATGGGGTATAAGAATGTGTAGCTCGTCTCTGTTAATTCTGACCCTTCCAAATGATTTCACTTGTGATAACCATTTGACACGTCTCTCATATTCACGCATATAACACTGGAAAATTGTAAATTGTCACAATCACCAGAATTAGTGGCATCCATTAACTTTAAAATTCAGTAAGCACAATGAAATGTAATGGTTTAATCTTCAATTTTTTTTCACCATTTAAACTGGAAACTCATAACAGCACAACAGAAAAGGTTGATCATAACCCTTACCCAAATTTCAAGTATCAAAGTTGACTGTTTTCATGAAATAAATACAAAGTGAAATGCAATGCAACAAATCTGCTGTTTACAAAAAAAAAAACTATCTGGTGTTTAAACTATGTAGCCATATGGGAATAATTATGTGTAATCAGTACTTTCTTCTATTAAGAAAGAAGCTAGTACTGAAATGACATTGCACCTAAAAAAATAACCCTTTAAAATATTGAAAGTGGCTGAAATTTTACGTATGAAACCACCAACATGCCTGCATACTGTCTGAGCTATTATTTAATTCTTTTATAAAGAAATTATATTTCTGTTTTTCTTGTGCATGATATAAAGATGCAAATACAATGTAACATTGGGTGTAGCTAAAAATAACCTGTACACGATATCATCAACCAGGTTCATGAACATTACCGCTTCTAGCATCCCTGGAGTGTTCAGTATTAACTTTCACATTAAGTTACTGAGACCTACATCAGTCAAGTCTCGTTTCTTACACTGTTTTGACAGCGACCACTGACATCAACATTTTTTCAAACCACGTTTTCATTCGAGAATAAACATAATAAAGTTCATTATTTGTACTTAAGCCACGGCCTAGACCAAGATTTTATCTAGTATCTTAAACATTATTTCATACATTTCAAGATTTTATTGAACATCAGACATCAATTACAATTATTTTTATTGGCTGTGCAGTGACTTAGGTACAAATATTGTTAACTGATGGTGATTATTCTCTAATACAAACATGTTTGATAAAATAGTTTGGATTAGTTTTTGTGGTTTTGGGAAAACATTGAAATCTTTGGCAACTTCCAAAATAGTGTAAGATGTGATAAACTCATTGATATTAAATGATAAACTTAGGATTCATGTCTCAGTCCACAATTTAACTTCCAAAATAATGTAAGATGTGACGAACTCATCGATATTAAACGATAAGCTTAGGATTCATGTCTCAGTCCACAATTCAGTCTCAGTTTAAAATCATTTAATGATTTCTAATCAATGGAAGAGATTACCAATGAACATGATAAGTTGGAGCATGTCACATATTTAGCCATATTCAAAATGTGCATATACTCCACAGAAATATATAAATATATAAACCATATGCCACAGACTTCCTATCATGAACACAACGAAGCATTACCAGCCAGTAACACAGGCCATCATCTGTTACACAATACAGTTTTAGTGTTAAGCACGTTAATTATCTAGGCTCGATTGCATTTGAACACTGGACTCTAAAAATCACTTATTCTTCAGCTCATGAATTTCCTTTCAAACAGTCTTGTGACTAGGCAGGGCAGTGCAGATATGGACTTGTATTTAAGAGGAACCCAGTTAAAATCTTGGCATTTTCATCAGGTAACCTGACTGAATTTTGCAATGACTTCCCCTCAGTCACTTCAGGTGAGTTCTGATAAATACATCGCAACCGTGTCTTTCTAAATCCTTAGATATCCACCATTCATAACCAATGTTCCATCTCTACAGTAAATCAGATACCTTGAATAACACGGTTTCAACTCGGGAAACTTTAGTTGTAGCCCTACTATTCTGTGTATGTACAATATAACCTTTGCAGCTGAAACAGCACCAATAAATAACCTATGAACTTACCCGCGTGTCACAAGTTTAGTTCAACACCAGGTGTCTCTCTAGCTGTTCGCCAAATAATTTTCGGTGTCACTCGTAAGGCAATGGTAAAAATATTATTTTTCTTTTTTAACTTCACAGTTGTCATCGAGTGAATGTAGGCAATAGAACACACCATATAAAGCCAGAAACAGCTGATACGTTAAGTGTTCTAGCTCATGCAAAATACTGAAGTCTACCATCTCACAGCCTTAATGTAAGGAGGATAATCATAAATGTGGACTCTGGCGTAATAGGCCAACCAACCAGAACTTGACGAATATTAAAGAAAGGGAATATAATGGATAAGTAAATCACTATTCACAGATTTTGAAAAGTGCTGTACAATATTTAAATTAGAACGCGTATAAAATATAAACACCACAGAAAATAATCCATGAATTCTCCTAAGCAACAAAGTAGAGATGATAGATTGTAGTTAATGACAACTATACTAATAAGAATGTTTTACTTATCACCATCGGAGCGTGATGCTGACCACTCACCATCTAGTGACAAGGTCAAGAATGAATAGGAGCTACGCCTCCACTCCCCCCAAGCGCCTACATGGTGTATAGTGGGACAGCTTTATTTATTAATTTTTACTTATCACCATGTCTCCTAAGTCTCTAAATAGTACTAAATATTCAGTGGATATTCCTCTGCTCTTGAGAGTTTAATCCTTCAGATATGTGGATTATTTTAACTTACCATTCTGCATGGTATTTGGCGCGCACACAAGCAGCGACTGACTTAAAGCTCTTAACAGCTCATAACTGTGCCAAAATGTTACACCACTATGTCAGGCTTGTAATGTGTATTTTTACGAACAAGTAAAATGTGAATCGAGTTGCATTCCTCGCTACAGTAAAAACTGCACAATGAGAGTGCAGCAAGCAAGCTAGTAGTTGGTAGATGCTCGTGGTGTTGCAAATTTTGTTTTGTATGTGTAACATTTGGAACCCTGAAAACCTGTTACCCTAGTCTAATGTGTTCGAAAGTATTATTACAACTTGAAAGTGTCACTGCTCTAAAACACTGACATATTTTCAGTCTTCCATGTTGAGAAACCAAATGGGCTTCCCCCATTCTAAAATGCAAACAAAGTAAGAAAATTAATGAAAAAACTTAAAAAAATAAATTAAACTTTACAGTTCCATAGCCATTACAGACATGGCGATTAAAAACAAATGAATTTGGGCTAGCACGCAGCTCACGTGCACTTTAAGTAAACGTGCTACCAAGCCATCACAGATAACATAAGGGTACCTTGCATTACGAGATGCACCAAGCAACGATGAAGATGTGAAAAATAAAACTGTGTATTACAAGGAAACAGTGGAATGTCAACATCTAATATTTTGTCAAGGAAGTCAGTGCAGGGTCCACTGCCAAACTGCAAAAGCAGAGCTGATTTGGAAGGTAACGATCAACCAGGCTCCCTTGTTAGTGCCATGGGCTGATGATAAAGGCTGCCATACTTATACAGAATCACCAGAGATGAAAACGTTGGCCAAGTATGTCTGTCATTGTATAATCGATACATGGCGTGAAGTGCCATACATACACTTAAAACATGATTGTCTATGCTTTTAAATGGTAGGAATTGTTCTTTATGCTGTCAGAGGAAAAAGAGAATACTTTTCACAAAATTCAGTGGCTCTTACTGGTTATAAACATTGTGGGTCATGCTAGATATTTTTGTTGTAGGAAGAACAGTGATGATATGTTTTCTGAGGTATCTTATAGTAATTCATTAATTTTGTTCATAACTGGTTGATCTTTGGGGCACGATTTAAAATGTGAAAATTCAAACTAAAAAAGTATTCTTATATTATTATAAATCTTATGGGGTAATTTCAGTAATATATAAACGAGTCCTCACACTTATGAAAGTTGAAGAGTTATTAAATGCAGTGCTTCAATAGCACCAGCAGCACCAACATTTCACAATCAACTTCTTCTTCTTCTTTTTTACTAGTGAGTTTTCTATATCACTAACATTTTAGAAATTTTGAGTTTTGATATGTGAGGTGCTAACAGAAAATGTAAAGCGATAAAATGTTACTTTTCTTCAGAAAATACTATAAAATACAACAATAAATGGCTGTCACAAAAGCCAACTCCTTGGCCTATACGCAAATCAGGTACCTCCAAAATACGAATCGGACAAAACCTGCTGAGACAAAGAGAATATTAGAACTGTGAGTGTCTTGATCGCTGAAGGAAATTACTTGCAGCCCGGTGTTCAAAGTCAAGAACTCTTAATGCTCCACAAAGTTTAAACAATGTCTGTAGGGTATATGCACTTCTTTGGATATGTCGTAAAGACACTCCCACGATAGATAAAAACTTAAAAGAGGTAAGAGCAAGTGTGTGTGCACCGAGACAGAAGCAAAGAATGTACATCAAGCGACCATTTTTCTTCTACTGGATCAGGTATGATAGGAAACGGCATGTTCACAGCAGACTAGAACCCTCAGACACACAGATAAAAACAATACGTCAGACATTTAATTCGTTAACAGTGACAATATTCCTCCACCTCTTTGGAAGCACTCGCCACTCGCCACTCTTCGTGGCATCCGGCACACTCCTTCCATACAAATACTTGTACATTGCATTGATAAATAAAATGAAATATTTTGTGTATGTATGTGCTCTGTTTAATTTCCAAAATGATCTACTGGACTTGATTTTTCCCCAACAGGATTTTTCAATATAACTCTCAATATGTCTGCAATAACGCAGTCAGCCTAGAATTGTCTTCTTGCAAAAAGCTTTCTGCAAACCATTTTCCTTTCAGTTCTCAACGCGTTCTCATTCTAACGATTCAAATCTATCCGTTCATGAGCTTGCCAAATATAATCAGTTATAACAAGTACAGCATAATACTGTTTATAAACAAAAAAAAAAATATTACTGGCACCAATTTATTAATAACCAGACATATATATACATATAATATATATATTTACATTTATATTTATTACTTCAGCATGATTATTGGCAGGACCACGCGACCTTACACAATGGACCAATATCCTCCAGCCACAAATATCTTTGTATATTGTGGAAACTTACTTCTTGTCAAAGAGTGGGAGTTTTGAACGCACCGCACCTTCACATATCATCAACCTCTGCGTAGCGGTAGCATTCCTCTTCACACATTTCTCTCCCTTTGCCGCGTTGGCTTGCGTGTGTGTCGGCCCCATTAATTGAGACTGTTGTGGACTTCCTGATGATAAGTTCGTCCCTGTCACTTTTTCCAACGACTTTCTAAGCAGAGCAATTTTTGATGATCGCATCGCATCATTCAGACTTGCACCTTCCATTCTTCGAGCAAAATCCATCGGTGAATTCCTATTACCAAAGGCAGCAGCCTGATGAAAGAGCATGTCTCTTTGGTGTTTTGAAGGGACTTGTGATTCCTGCAAGTCCCAAACTGAAGAAGGCGTGCTTTCACCATCCCCTAATCCTGGGTTACTGCCACCATAATTACAGCTCTGCTTCCTTTCAAAATATTCAACGATCTTGCTAATCTGCTGAGGTTGGCCTCCTATACCACTGAAACTTCTGTCTTCCCAGTAAGACAGATCTCCCCCACCCAAACTTGAAATATCTTCTGAACTGTCTGTATATATTGACGACGAACGTTTAGCAGCAAATAAGAGTGAATGATGTGGAGCACTGCGAGCCAGAACACCACTAGTCGCTCCAGCAGTTGCCAAATCATCCAGGTCTCCTAGTTCACCGCTGCCAGATCTCAACGAACTCACAGTTGTTGTCGATACAGCCGAGTCATCAAGTAAGAATAAGGACGAAGCCGCCGAAGACGAAGAGAGTGTTGCAGTTGAAGCAGTATGGTGGCTGCGTGTGGATGCGTGTATTCCTGGAAACTCAGATGGCGATAATAAGTCGCCGGCCGTACAACCGAAATCTTCACCGACACTGCTGAAGAAGCCAGATTCACAGGAGCCACGACGTTTTAAAACAGATGACGGAAATCCCAAACTGCCTCCATGGTCTTCAGACAGCAACAGACTGGGGTCTGCAAGGTTGAGACTTGAAGAACAGACTCTCTGGTTTAGGAGCAAAGGATGCTGCAACTGGACTTGAGGTAGCTGAAGTAAAGTGGAAGATGTACCTATTCCCTTTTGAATTTGTTCAGTCTTTGAATTACACTCACTGTTTCTGAATAAAGGATGTGTAAATAATGAACTAGCTGCCACGGCTTTACATTTCTTCGATGTAAATGAACCAGAGGATCTTCTGCAAGCAGAGTCCTCTGAACAATTGAATACTGATTTCTTTGGTATTTTCTCACTACCTTGATTATCTTCACAAGAGGACGGCTGTTGAGGAGACAGACTTTGTGTTAACAATGGAGGTGGTGGTACTAGGCTGGAATTTGTTAGAATTCTTCTACGCATCAGAGTCGGAGATGCTGGCAAGGACAAGGGCTGCTGAGCGAGTTTGCAAGAACTCAGTACTGTTGTGTTCACATCTGAACTCAGAGGTGACAAAGGCCTTTTCTCATCCAGGGATGAGGAATCACTCTTTGCTGACATACTGACCGATGGGTCCCCGGTCGGTGTGCTGGGGGGCGTTGGTCCATAGAATGGAGATGGCAATTCAAAACAAGATGAGAACAGGTCTCCACCAGCACCAGATGTGTAAGTATTTGGACTTACTCCTTTATTAAGACCTCCCAATATCTTCTTCACACCCCTGAACTGCGACAAGGTTGCAAATGGATTTGTTCTTGAAGACTTGTCTCCTGCTGACATCGGTTTATAATGCGGGTCTTGTTTCACCATGCTCTCTCCAACATGTTTGGGGGTTAGAAGCAGTGTGTCTGTTGACTGTTGTCTTGGAAGCACAAAATGACAGCGTGCCTTATCACTTGGTGCTGTATGAGGAGAAAACACCACACACCCAACATCTTCGGAGAGAGATCGTCGATGATTTGCTAGAAACAAAGAAACACGCAGAACACATCAGTTTAACCAACTTTAAATAAAGCAGAACATGTTATTTAAAATGGTACGATCATTTATGTGGAAGGACTGCAGTTGCCTTGTCTTACACACACCAAACAGAATGCCTGAAAGTAAACTTGTTCCAATTATCACGTGAAGGAAATGAAACCACTCACATTTCTTGAGCTCGGATTTGTCCCTGTTCTCCAGTAAGGCCTCTGCTTCGGCAGCACTAGTCGGTATTACTTCTTCACTGTGAGCTCCCAAACACGACGCCATCTTGACAGTCTTCTCATCTGATCCCAAGCTGACACACGACATCAACCGTTTGTCACTGCCACTTGCATCCTGCTGCTTATTCTTCTGATAGTCACATATTATCTGATCCAAACTAGTCACAATTTCTGCGAACGACGGACGACTCTTGGGTTGGAACTGCAGCAAGACAGCAAAAATACTTTTTATTTCCCAAAATCAACAACAGTCATGAGTCATCTAATAAGTAGACATATTTCCAAAGTCAATTCTCTACTACTTTGTACGCCTGTGACCTAGATGTTCATTTACTGGAGACAATTGCAGTAAGTAAACTGAATTGTAAGGATCAAAATCCTTTTTGGGAAGCTAACAGTTGTTCAGCTAGCCAGAATATTCCCCACCTTGAAGATCCATTATCATATTCATAACAGCCCACTAATTATTCCCATCTATATCCGGGTCTCCCATGTGATTTTTTTCCCTCCGATGAAAATTCCTTTTGTATTTCTCAAATCTCTCAAGCGTCTTTGATGCTCTACACATCTTTATCTTCCTCAATTTGATCACCCTAATAATACTTACTGACGGATACAAATTATGAAATGTTCTCCATTCTCTTGCTTTTTGTTTTTTGAATTCTTTGCACAAAGTGCACAGCAAGAATGCATTATGGGCTAGTCATGCCTGTCCATCCATCTGCCCGTCTGTCCAGTCAATTCAATTCGAGAACCAGTGGATAGATTTGGATGAAATCGGATGTGGACGTTGCGCTATTCTGTACGACCTCAAAATCGTACCTTTGAACATACTACGAGCGGTGATAACAAAATGACAATTGAGGAAAGTCATGTGGTATACGGTGAAGTATTGTGATCTGGTGGCCAAAGTGAGAACTGTTGAACAAGGCAGATTTAAACCCTCCAAATGCACGCTGCAAAGAACACATGCGGAAACTACGTGTATCCGGTATGGTGTACACTTGCCGAGCCCATTTTCTCTCCTACAGCTCAAAAATAATCTCTTCAGCATCCTCTTCTCACACATGCTCAAGGCACGTTTTCCCTTAGAGTGAGAGATAAGTAAGATTTGAGGTTTTCACAGTGATGAGTATGAAGATTGCTGTCATCTGGGTTGTTGCGCCGTGTAGTCTGGTAGACGTCCACAAACGTTTCAGAGGTCAGGCTGCCTCTGTCATCAGGGCGATTCAACGTTGGTGGACATCTACCCGACTACACAGCGCAACAACCCAGATGACAGCAATCTTCAGTGAGAAATAAGTTTCATAACCATTCAAAACAACAAGAGATGGGAAGACAAAAGGATCCAAATCAAACTGTACAAATACATGCCTCATCGGCACAGTATTTGTTATGTAGCATGAATATTTGTTGTGACCCAGAAACTTTCATTCATTAATCATTAACAATGTGAAAAAATTAATGGAATTCTTAATGCCTTAAATATTGGCATAGTTACACTGCATTCTAAATATATCTGGATCCAGCCTGCCTCCTATCCACTGAGGAAATCAATGAAGGTAAACACAGTGAACCAAATTTCCATTACGAGCCAAAGTCTACAAACAAGTACAGCCTCACCTTCAAACTCCTGTAGACTTTCACAACATTCTGCAGAGTACTGCAAACTGGACAGGAGGAAGAATCATTTATTCAAAGGCAAGTGGAGTAACAAAGATTCCACATACCAATTTTATGCATAAGAAATATAAGATTACTAATACTTCCACGACAGATGGCTATTTTCTTAGTTCCTCAAAAAAAGCTCATAAACCAAAATGGTCGCCTGTCCCTGACCTACATGCACTTGGACAAATCTGCTACATCACTCATGTGACCATGACACGATTCAAAATGTGAAGCGGGTATAAAACATATGGGCAAGGTTATGCTACAAAAACTCTCAGCCACCGTTTCACGTGTACGAAAATATACGAAATGCATAATTCGATATATAATATACTCACAGTGCAACAGGAAAATGCCAACTTCAGGAAGTCTGGTGGGCAGGGACCACACATCTCACTGAAGGCAAGATAATCTAGGCCGAAGTTCTCGGTTCTTGGTAAAATGTCTGGATCAGCCTCCACTCTGGCTATTAGCTCGCAGAGAACAATCCCATATGAGAACACGTCCGATTTCTCGTCGTACCACTGACCCTTGAGGCACTCTGGTGACATCCAATATGGGGATCCCACTGTGGGTAGCCTGTATCCACACCTACAATATACACCAGACGCTGACAGTTGTTCATCTGGGCAAAATACCCCACTTTTTATGCTCATTTTCATGTTTACAAAAACCTGCAAGAGGATCCTATCCTGAGCCATATGAATCCAACCAACATCCGCATACCCTACGATTTTCTGATAACGTGAAAAACAAAGTTACACACCCACACAAAACAACATTCAAAATTAGAATTAATCTTTACATATTAAGATAAATCACTATCACTCCTTCTCAATGAATCTAAATGAATCTTTACCAATATCAGCTGGTATGGCAAATACAAATTAAAAAATGGTGCACAATTTCCAATAATAATCAGTAAATATTTGGTTTAAACACAAGAACAACACAGATTACTAACTACAGTGTTACGTAACATTTAAAAGTATCATAATACACACGCAATCACAGAAACCCACATGGCACATTTGGCTGCATATTTTTACATTATACTGTAAAAAACACAAACTAATTCTCTAGTACAGTGGAGTGTCGCGCTGTATGGAGCAGAGACTTGGACACTCAGGAAGAATGAACAGAAATACCTGGAGAGTTTTGAAATGTGGTGTTGGAGAAGAATAGAGAAGATCAGGTGGACGGATCGAGTGACCAACGAAGAAGTATTAAGGAGAGTCAACGAGCAAAGAAACATTCTGCAGGCGATTACACGAAGGAAAGCTAACTGGCTGGGACATATTATGAGAAGGAATGGATTACTGAGTGATATCATCGAAGGCCAGGTTGAAGGAAAGTGAGGACTGGGAAGAAGATTGATACAGCTAACCGACGACCTTAAACAAGGAAAGAAGATGATGTTCCAGGAATTAAAGCAAGAAGCCGAGAATAGGGACAACTGGAGAGCTCTTTTTGGGCAGAGCAATGGACCTGTCGTAAGACAGAACACTCAATAATAATAATAACAGTACTGTACTATTCAACATTATCACTTCTGCTGGATCATACAATTTATTTTAATCAACATCACTACATTATAAAAGCAAAAATTAGCCAGTCAATTCCAGTCTCTCCATGCCTGTCTTCAGAGTGGCCCGTTTTCATAACTCTCGATGCATTATTTTTTCTCCTTGCTACGACTCAATGTGACCTACTTTACCTAATTATCCTATCAATACCAGACGAAGCCATGACAGTTCAGGCTGTGGACTGGAAAGCTGCAGTTTCATTTACATTTTCAGTTTCACTGACAATTTTTTCCATCTTTACTGCAACCAAGAACTCGTCTAGTGACCCACTCAATGGCAATATGGTTTCTGAAGATGGCTGTCTTCTGGGTTGTAACACTTTGTAGTCTGATAGAAATTTACCAACATTTCAGAGGTCCTCGCTGCCTCCATCATCAGACAACCCAGAAGACTTGACATCTTCAGTGAAAACCTCAAATCCTAAATATGGTTTCTTTTGTTACATGAAGCTAAAGCGAAACATTCATTTGAAGCTTTCTTCCACAGCGTCCATAAGATTATTTATCTGATCACAGGCTGCCTAGCAAAAAGAAAGAACTTACAGTGGATCAGGAATCTTGGCCGCAAGGCCAAAGTCTCCTACCACAGCCATCATCTCACCATTCTCTTCATTCTTCTTGATTAGAACATTCTGGAAACGTCAACATAAACAAGTTTGGCAAAATTATAACACTTTCTGCTGTATATTATTCCTTCTTGTAATACAGCCATTTCAGTAATTCTGTTGGATTTTCGAAATGTTCAGCGGCCCGTATATCCACCATACAATTAGACTTTCAAAACATAAACGTGGTTCAAATTTGATTTTTAAAAAACTTCATAAACCTGACCTGTCTTAAACACAGAATAACGTCGAAGTTTTGTAAAGAAAATTTATATATAGTACAACTGTGAAGAAACCTGAGTCTGTACAGACAAAATAAACACACTCTACATGGCCTCATTTATAAATTTTACTATTACAGCAGTCCCAAAGGATGATAAGATATAAAAAATGTTGGATACATACATCATCATTGGATAATATGGAAAACTAACAAAAAAAGACAAAGCGTAAAAAACAAACTAAATTTCTACTAAAGTTGTGATATTATTAAATTCTGAAGAAAATACAATACATCATCAAATAAAAAATCTCATAATCAAAACCAGTATTTAACATAATGTAAATTTGTAACTCAAAAAGTTTATTTTTAAGAAATGAGTTATGGGAATTTGGTTCTGAGCCTCATTCCTTTTCTTCGAAGCAAAGTCACGCCAACGCCTGAACAGTAACACGTGCTCACCTCCCTTTGTCATTCAAAGTAAAAAATTGTGATTTCGATAGAATTCAATCCCCCGCTGTGACTCGCGGCATGTCGGATAAAATGGAATGCTGGTAACTACCGACAAGATCACAATCATTTAATTTGTTAAAGAAGGAGTCAACCAATATTGTATACATCTCCCTCGACATTTTATTTACACAAACTGAACTAACACACGCAGTATCTGATTAGAAGAATTGAAATTGTTTTCAATTCATTCGTCACCCGGCATTTCTAAAAACTCACGTCTACAGTTCGCAATTCCGCCTTAAAACAGAAAGTCTAATACTTTGCCAAGTTACAGCGAGTACCTGTCTAGTCTGACCAAGTAAGAGATTGGAGTACTGCCAACACACAACACAGAGCCAACCAACTAACAAACAAACAAATAAACCAACAAGGATATTGGTAACTTATTATAATTTATGGAAGCAAGTGTTGGTTACGACCACCATATATGAACAGGTTGTGCAATCTGAACAATTTAATGCTTACATAAACATCACTTAAATCCTGCATATCAAATATGTTATTTTACATGGGCATGAATTTTAGACTCTCCGCATATTTGCATCTCACAGATAAGTAACAGGACACAAAGAATTACATATTATGGGTAATCAAAACAAGGAATACGCAGTGAGCAAGACGCAAAGTACACATCACATGAGATCTGAGGATTCTGTTAGAGAGTAAACGTGGATTGTGATCTGGGTCGCGACTCCATGTATTCTTGTTTGTGGTTAGCAATGTTTCTGAAGAACGTCTTCAGGGTAGAAGATAGAGGCAGACTGTTCCTCAAGAATACATGAAGTCACAACCAGAAGGCCACGCCCACACAGTAAGACCTTCTTCAGAAGCGAATAGTAGTTCAGTCACTCCCTGCATTTTATGGAAGCCAAAGGCTTGCTATCGTGTTCAGAAGAGCCCATCAATGGATCCTATCCTAAGACAGACAAAAACCATATCCATTCTCACTCTGTTGGTTTATAGTTGTTTTTAATATTATCCCACAATCTCTGCCTAGGTATTGCTTAGTGGTCTCTTCCCTTCAGGCTTTCTTACCAAAATATGCGCTTCTTGTATCTCGTGTGATTCTACGCACCCCTCCTTGACAAATAAATCAAATTAAATTTACAAATAAAACTTTAAGTTTGACAGAAACATTTCTGCCACACAAGTTGTAGTGGTTATACTTTCATAATTCAGTTGTTCTAGATTTATGAAGTGACATTTTTCTCGACAACAGATAACAGTTAGTACGATTTGAGGTTCTCAGAGCGGAAAGTATTAAGATGGCTGTCTCTTGTGCAGTGTGGTTGATATTTCAGAGGTACTCGCTGCTTTCATCATCAGGGCAATGAGCCAGAAGGCTGCCATCTTCAGGTAAGTTACTCAAGTGCCAGAATCTGTTTTTTGAGAACACGGCGTACCACATGCAGGAAAACTTGACAGTTATCTGAATAGTCTTTCGAAATGTACTATTATATCCCTTATCACTCCCATTTCTGAGATATTAAATAAAGTTTGACTAATCTTAAAAAAAACTGGGATTACATTACAGCCATACAGATTAAAATTAAATTATCCGGATAACTTTTAGCATAATCACCTTTCCAATACAAAATTTCATGAATATCCATTACATAGTCTGCAAAATTACACTTACATGTGACTCTCCCATTATGCATTAATTTCAAGAAGTCTGAGCAAAGGACATACGAAAACTGCACTCTATGACCTCACCTTTGACGTGAGGTCCCTATGGAAGACTCCTCTGGAATGAAGATACTCCATTCCCTTTGCAATGTCCAGAGCCAGCTTCATCCTTGTCGCATGTGGCAAGTCCAGGGTCCGGTTCTGGATGAGCTGCTCTAAACTGCCGCCATTGATGTACTGAAATAAAGACAAGACCGGATATGCGTAACCTGCACCAGAGTGCGCGGAGATTCCACGTGCATTCTTTTGCAAATTCTGAATTATCCTAGCTAAAATAAAAAAACAAACACAAATGGCGATACAATAAAAGTATCACAATCAGTTATCCTACACCTGTTGAGATGCGACAGACTGAAGATGATGTAAAAATATACGAGCGGATTCCATCGACACAGGATACATTCACTGACTCTTAACTACTCACCTTCTTGTTAACAAAAGAAGCTAATTACAATCTAATGTATATACCTACCATATATCTCACCAACATCCAAGAACATATATGTTAGACATTGCGCTTATAAGTGGCGACACATTAGTTTAGTTCCTTGACGAGGGCAGAACTTATAAAAATTTGAAACTACAATCTGAAACAGCATCAGCTAAGAGGACAAGGTTGTGTGGTTCTTGTTCCACATTCCTTGTGACAAGATTTATTCACATTAGTGATGTCTGCAAAAAAAAAAAAAAAAACTACAGGAGTACAGTGCCAAGTTTTCTTCGTGAAGAATCTGGTTGTTACGCTACGTACGAGAAAATACATCAGGACAGCTTATTCGACACAGCCTTTGCGTAGTTTACGCCATTTGACAGATTACAAAGTATTTTATTTAAAGCTGCGGTGTAGTGAGAAATCACTCAATCACTTGATGCATCCAACGCGCAGAACCGAACACAGATTCCACATTCTGCGACACCCATCTCCAGCGTAGAAGTATGATAACTTACATACGAAATAAACTTTAATTTTCTGAACTCTGCAGAACCAAGAAGTTCCATTTAATCTTGTCTACTCAACAATTTAAAAAATACAGAGGCTGTGTGGAGAATTATTTTGTGTCACGTGTTCCTACATTCAAGGATTATGAACTTTCCCCGACTACTCGATTAAGTGTGCATGTGTTTCTGTAGACATCGGATGCGCAATACTTACCTCTGTCAAAGCATGCAGCTGTCCTTCATGAACACAGACTCCCATAAACCTGTAAACAAAAGAAGCCACTACTAAACCACCAATAGCAAATCATATAAATGAAATAAAACGTTAATTTTTCACAGAAATTCACATGTAAATACTGTTCTGTTATTTACTGAAGTTTCGACGTAAGACCACACTCAAGTCAAATTAAAAACATTAATATTTCACAAAATTATGCCAAAACATTCTGCAATTTTAAACAATTTAATAATAAGACACAGCGTTCCCTTTAATTCTCAATAAACATAAATACTGTGGCCAAAAAAAAGCAGAATGAATGGGCTTCGAACCTCAAATATTACTTTTGCTAATTCTGAAATCCAATTGAATATAAGGAGTCATACAAGTTTCCTATTGTAAACTTACCCTGTTTCATGGGAGAAGCATGTGACTCTTCTGCCTGAGTACAAACTTGCAAAAGAAACCCAGTACAGACTGCGTCTAAGCTAAATGCAGATACGACTAAATGTAAGAGTGTACCACAGAATCAAAATCTCTGACAGTACATAATAAATAATTTCAAAACATTTCAAGTCCTAAAAACTGCATTACGATGATTACAAATTCTTTTAAAATTCCTGACTTACGATACGTTCCTCTTACCTTACGAGAGGACAAAATGACTCTAAGCTTACTTAACGATGCTTTGTCAACTGCACATCACACATTATACATCAAATGTCAGGACACCGCATTTTATATGGATGGACTGAGAAAAATCTTTACAGCATCAGAACAGCTGGTGACTGGAATCAGATCTGAATCCATTATCTCCTAAATACAAAGTAGGAGAGCTAATCCACACATCGGGACATTCGGTGACAGACAACTGAGCACTGAAAATACAAATCTCTTAAGAAAAAGTCTGCTGCAAGGTGTAAAATACACAGCAGGCCATTTTAAGTCAAGGTTGTAGCCTGGAAATACGACTACCAAATACCCATAACATAAATTATTTTACCCTTGTTCAGGGAATTTTGATAATTTTTCCTTTTCAGAAATTACAAGCTCCAAATAACAAATATATAAGAACGTGTGTGTTGAAATAGTAACAATCCAGTAACTGATACAAGGACAGTAGATCAGAAGCACTTTTGCCAACAGAACGAGTCCAGACCTAATGACCTACATATCTGTATGACTAGGACATCATTACGGCAACATGAATGGAATAAATACATGATACCAAACAGATGTTCTACCATCACTTTCAATTTCATACGATACTGATGTAAACATTGCCACGTCTTATTTCAGCATGTCTGGGGGCACGACCCGATTCCTAAAACAAAAAGTTCCAGGATAAACCTACGACGTCTACTTCCCTTCTGTGACATCAGAAATTAATAACGTACAACGCAGAAATCTACTGCTGTCACTGATTTCAAATATAAAATAAATTTACCTTACGTGACCCTAAGTTTCATACATTATTTGTAATTTTTAACACAGAGCGGGGCAAAAGCAAGGACACGCCTCAAATAAAACTGCACATGAATGTTTTTTTTTTCCTCCCTTGTAATTTAACTACTTTTCATGTCTGCTCTTACATAAAAGTATCTTTAGAAGCACACAGACAATACTCTTTTATTTTATGTATTCAAAATATCTGCCAAAAGAGTTCGAATTCAAGGGATGGTCTGTATGGCTCAACTTTTGCACCATTCTGTGTAACAAAAATATCCTATAGGCCAGTGGTATTCAACCTGGGGTACGCGAAGACATCTTAGGGGGTACGTGAAATTTAAAAGAAAAAATATTATTTTATGATAAACACTGAATAATCAGTAATGTAATTTATTTAATTTATTTTAGATGTAGATTATATACTACGTATAACTTGAATTATACACCAACAACTTTGGGGGTACAAAGTTGAAGAGAAATTATATCTGGGGGGTACGCGAACAAAAAAGGGTTGAATACCACTGGTATTGGCTACAACATTTTCAGACGTGAGATCTGAGGGTTTCATGGCAGTGATAATAATGATGCTGTTCTTCTGGGTTTTGGCCCCATGTGACATCGACCGACCAGTCCACACAGTGCCAAAACCCAGAACAACAACATCATTATTTTTACTCCATACAAAATTTCTCAGGGTTAGATCTTATGCTTCATAGTTATCACCAACAAACAAACAAACAACACAAGATTTCATACGGTCTTCGTGTTGTTTTAAAATTCACATAAAACATGCTACACTCCATGTAGGCGTTTGGGGTGAGAGGGGGTATAGCTCCTCTCTTCCTTGACCTCGGCACTAGATGGGGGTGAGTGGTCAGCATCACTCCCCGGCTGGCTTTACCTCCGGGAAAGGACCCCGGTACCCATTGGATAGGAGGCTGGGTGGGCCCCAGAATCGGTTTGGACGCAGAGGCTAAAGGAAAAATCCTCTGCCCCATAGGGGATCGAACCCCAATCGTCCAGCCCACAGCTTACACTGATGGTAGCAAACTGGCGTTCCTTCTAGAGGCGTGTTATGCATAACGAGTATAATGAAAAATCCAACTCGAAAGTTATTAGAAGAGACAAGTACGAAGATAAGTCTGTCTTACTTTTCAAAAGAAATAATACAAGCCAACAGCTACTCAACGACATACAAATTTCAGTGCGAATGAAATTACTTTGAAAATGAGACAAACCAGTAACACCAGCCTTAGTCAATTCCACAGGTATTCCGGGCACAGAGTTGAAAAGAAACTATTCCAATGTCCTTACAATAATTTCAACCCCAACAGTCCACCCCTAGCTAAAGAGATGTCAATCAATTTTTACTTTGGGGCGGGATAAATATAGTTTGAAGTACAACAAACCTAGAGACCAGCAAAAACTTTTGTAGTTACAAAATTATTAAATAGCTATAAATTATCGTTCGCTGAACATATTTTGCACACATAACAAAACACACACAAAAATTCACTTTTAACTATTTAGACAATACGAGGTGCGATCGGAAAGTTTCAAGACTGTGTCAATAGAGGGCGAACCGGATGTAGTACGAGCTTCTGCCTTTAGGGGGTGCGGCCTACATTCATAGTGAATCAGTGTGCCAGCCGGCATCATCGAATTAGCATTTGTTTCTTAGTTACGGGCGTTTTGGTAGTGCATTACACCGACCCTCCTGCGATTTCGGAATGGCGTGTGCATCAAATTTTGCCAAAGACTCGCCAAAACGGCTACCGGAACCTATGAAATGCTAAAGCCAGCATTTGGGGAGTCCGCAATGGGTCGTGCACCAACTTTTGTGTGGCATTCACGTTTTAAAAATGGCTGAACCTCTGTCGATGATGACGAGCGTTCTGGACGACCATCTTCGAGCACAACGCCCGAAAATGTTACGAAGATTCGGCAGGCCATTCACGAAGATCGACGTCGTACCATCTACGACTTGTGCGACATTGTTGGGGTAGGCTATGGGACCTGTCAGCTGATTCTAAACGAAGAACTCCCCATGCGACGCATCATGACAACGCGCCAGCGCACACCGCCCTCAAAGTTCGGCAGTTTTTGGCCTCAAACACTATGGCCGTCATCCCGCACCCTCCTTATTCGCCGGATTTAGCTCCGTGTGACTTCTTCCTCTTCCCACAGATGACAATTCAGCTAAAGGGAAGGAGATTTGAGGCGATAGAAGAGATTCAGGCAGAATCGCAGATGGTGCTTGACAGGCTGACAAAGAAAGATTTCCAGGGATGCTTCCAGGCTTGGCAGCGGCGCTGGGATCGTCGTGTTCACTCCCAGGGGAACTACTTCGAGGGTGATGGATGAATTTAATACCTGAGATAAGTGTACGGGTTTTTATAGGCGCAGTCTTGAAACTTTCCGATCGCACCTCGTACATCTATGGTCAGTTCTGAAATGAGGTGTTTTTCCATTACGTGGTTTGGATCACACCCAATGGAGTATTAAGAAACGCTGTTTTCACAACACAGGTCTACTTTGGACACAATGCAAACGAGCATGTGGTAACCAGGCACAAGGTACAGATGTGAAGTGCTTCAATTGTTTTCAAAATGGCGAATTTTTCAAAAATGCAACTATCATGTTACATCAGAAATGCCTGTAATTTGGTTGGAGAAATGTTACGCGCGTTCACCCAGTGCACTGACGAATTAATTACACTGGATCAAACAGAAAACAGACTTCATTACGAAGCGTCAGTCTGTCTCAAGTTTCACGACATTTTCTGATGTAAATTTTGTCCCGGCTGTTCAGAACGTACCCGCGACGGTATAAATGTTACTGAACTTACCTCTAGATCACAGATTAAGCTACAAATCAAGGTGAAATGGTAGACTTGTTCACAATATTCCTAGCTCCTTCAAAGACCTTGAACTAGATGAAAACAATGCTCACGATGTTGTCTTTACCGACACACCGAGACCTTAATTCCCATCAATACTCTTGAAAAAACATTTGTTGAATGGGAATTATGACAAGTTACAAAGCAGGCTACTGTTTTTTTTTTATTTGTAGTGTTCTGACTGACGACAGGTCCATATGAACAGGATCCTTCCATCCTTTTCTCGGACTGGGACCTGTTCATATACGTTCTTGGCAGATGATCCAGAAGTGGTTTGCCATTCCCTTCTTCTGTGTGTGAATGGAGTAATGGTTGGGAGGCCACGGAGGAAACCTCCGTGTTGCCTAGACCACGGCCTCGCCCAACACAAGTTATAAATTCGGGCACCACCGGGAATCGAACCCGAGACCCCAGGATTACAAGGCCAGCGTTCTAACCGCTAAACCACCGTGGTTATAAGCTAATATTATGTAATTTAAAGTAATGCTCCCTCATTCGTGTGAAACGTTTCAGTGAATTAATTTGTCCTGCCCCTGCGTAATGCGGACACGAGACTCTGTTCCCGTGAGGTCTGACTAAAGTGCCTCAACTGTAGCCACCGCGTCTTGGGACCGCGAAGTTCCACGTGGGCTGAAACTTGACACATTTTGGTCTTCGTCGTAACTTCGAAGTGAACGCGTGGGATTCGGTATTTTTAC